TTGTTGTTTGCAAACACCTTTTCTTCTTGATGTCAGGCTCTCCAATTGGGTCAAGCAGAATGTTTTTTTTTTTTAGATGGGTATATAGCCTAAGTAATAAGATTCCCAGACATCACAATAAGGGAGTATTAGTGGAAAATCAACATTTTAAGGGATAATGGAAAGCTCAAAGAAAACTATTCTCAATCATAGACTCTTACAACTAAAAACCAATGGTGACGCTCATTTACGATGCCCACTATGACCTCATAGTTTGCTGGGTCCACCTGAAAATAAAAATAAACCAAAAATGTATTATCTGCTGGGTCCACCTGAAAATAAAAAGAAACCAAAAATGTATTATCTACACATTGCTAAACAAAGCATCCAAGGCCTTTTGTACCGAAAACACAAATTAATTTTACACATGGCCCAAACAAAATGAATAAAAGTTAATAAAAGTATTAATACAACAGACCTTGAGTCCCCGATATTTTCCATTCCACATGGCTGTTATAGCAAATGTGTCCATATGGAAGGCTTTCTCTGGTGAGGTCAAGTTGTGCTGGCTCACCTTCAGTGTCAGATACGCATTTATTACCTTGGAAAACGAAACATTAATTCAAATTGATAAACTACATGAAAGCCTTATCTGACAGACAAACAAACAAACACATCAATAAAATATATACCTCACTCTCCAACTCCTTCCCAGGGCCAATCTGTAAAATATCTGGATAAAATAGTTTATAGGGTCCCACTTTGGACACCAGTACATGGCTGTTATTTCCAGCCCAGGCACTTTTGATACCTACAGAAAAAAATATATAAATGTTATTTCCAGCCCAGGCACTTTTGATACCTACAGAAAAAAAGGAAAAAACTATAAAAAGGGGGAAAAAACACACCAGACAAATATTACAATTCTGACCAACATTCATTGATTTCATGTGATTTTTCATCAGCACTTACAGCTATGTACTGCATCCTTGGCATCAGCTGGTGTAACTGTTGCAACTGTAGTGTGGGACACAGGAGAGGAAAGTGGCATTGATAAATCCAATGGAGACAGGGAAGAGGATGATTTGGGGGAGACGTGGGGAGAAAGATTTGATGCCATTGGTGAGGATGGAGGTGATGGTGGGGGCTGCTTTTCTTTAGTGATGGTGAGGTCTAGAGGTGAAGGGTGTTGTCCAGTGTCTTCATGTGGTGTTTTAAGTTGGGGTTCATCAAGAATAAATCTGTGGGGTACCCGGGCTGTCTCTTCTTTGAAGGATTTTAGGTGGTCTGTACTGATTTTGGGGTATATGTAACCCTTCTCTGGTCTTTTATGTGTACAATTTATCTCTTGTCTTCTCTTGTCTTTTATGTGTACAATTTCATATGGTCCCAACCAGCTGCGCTCAAGTTTGCCCCCTTTACTTTGCTGGGTCCTTATGTTTTTCCGTAGGACCTTTTGGCCTACAGAGAATGGTGCCTGATTTGCCACCCTCTGTCTCCGCTCCTGTTTTTTCTTCACGTTCTCCTTGACTATAAAGTCCATTTTCTCCTTGAGAGAAATAGCCCCGACACGGTGTCCTCTGCTATCACAGATTCCACTGTGCTGTTGACCTTTTTT